GCGTGCGGTGAGGGGCCCGGGTGGGGAGCGGCCGGGGCGGCGGGGGTCACCAAAGCGAAGTCGCCCTGGCTGGTTGCCCTGTGGGTACCACTTCCCCGCTTCGGGTCCAGGCGGTCGCCCAGGGCCCGGCGCCGCCTAGACCCTGGAAAACCCAATCCAACAGGTCGTCACCTCCCTCACAAACGCCCATCGCCCCCCAGTTATCACCTTAAAGTGACTTTCAGCGGGTTTATCCCGGATAGAGCTCTCTCCAAGTTTTTCAGATTTGTCAGATTCTAAGAATTTGCATGTTTTAAGTGAAGCTGAAACAGCGAAGGCTCGGGTTACACTTTAAAATATGCGAGGCTTCCGCGCGGCTCCCGTCGCTTGGTAAGGCTCAATTGCTTCTTTAAAAAGAAGAAGTGTGTGTGTGTGTGGGGGGGGAGGAACCCACTGCTTTTAGAGTTTGGGATTCTACATCCCCCCACCCCGTCCCCCGCCCCCTTGGTCACCACAATTCAGAAGCAGTTGTCACTGCTTCTCAAAACTCGGTTTCCCGCCAGCCGTCGGGGAGGTCGGGGAGGTCGGGAGAGCGGCTGCTCCGAGCGCCCTCGGAGCTTCCGCGCGCTCGCAGGGACCTGTCAGCTCCGCTGTCTGTAATGTGCATTATTCATTTAAGTTAGGGGCAACTCGGAAAGCGACTGGAATCCTCGATGGCTGGGTGGCCCAGCGGCCCCGAAGGCCTGGTGGTCAACCTTCGAAAATAATGGACTCGGGTGGCTGTAAAGGCCCCTACGGACACCCGCCTCCAGGGCAGCGCGCGCAATCCGAGGACAGCCCGCATCTCGGAGGGTTCGCGCCCTGCCTTCGCTGGCAGCTCGGCCAGGAGGTTCCCTGGGCCTGTGGAACTGGGTCAAAGGCAGACTGGAAGGGAAAGGCGTCGGGGGCAAGGGGAGAGAACGGCTCTTTAAACGGGTGGGTACAATGTTTCTACACAGCCAGGTGGGGCTGCTCAAAGGCTCTGCCTTTGGGGTGGATTTAGGGGTGAGGACAGAAATGGAATTGGGGGGGGGCTGCAGTTGCTCGTCGCTTGTTTGGTGTTTATATCTTTCCCAGCGGCCCAGATGGACAAAGGACGCACCCTTAGAAAAGTGGGGGGAGGCGGCGATCTTCCCTCCTGGACCACTCCCCTCCTCTAGATAAAGGGGGCGGGGGTGGCAGGGGGCGGTGAAAGGCAAAGCAGCCTCGGTATCACCCCTCCCCCCACCTCCATAGGAGGCGCGGGTTCCCCCATTAAATTTATATTCATTCATTCCACAACTCTTCATTCAGCACCACCAGGTACCAGCCACTGTATTAGCCTCTCAAAAACGCGGCGTCAATGGAAATCAGGCCCCCCAATCCAGAGGCTAAGGATCGGCTCCCTGGAATGTTCTAAGATCAGCATGCATCTTGGAATCGCCAGACTTGCTGCTCCACAGATTCCAACGCTGGGCAAACGGACACAAGGAAACATAACTTCTGCATAACTTTTACTTCTCCTTTCCTTTTTTCTTTTTTCAAGTACCAAAGCACCATTAATTAGAAGAATAATTACCGCTACCCTATATTATCCCAACCTGTTCAATTCCTATCTGCTGCAGACAATGCTAATAATGGCAATTATTGCTTCTATAAACATCCCCAGGCAGCACTCTCCTCCCGCAGTGCGTGTGTGTGTTTAAAGAATATATATAAAAAGTTCCCCCGCTCATTTGCATAGCTTCATCTTTACCTTTTCCCATTCAACCCTTGCAAAAAGCATATCTATTCAAAGCCCTTGCAAAAAGCATATCTATTCAAAGGGCATTTAGTCCATTTCTTTCTTGGCCGGTAAACCTATTCATCAATTGTTCTGCCTTGTAGATCGCATTCTAATGCTAATCTAGCGTGTTAAATATCTTTTTGTTCCCCTTTCACCGTTTTGTCATTCAGTTTATCCAGTTTTGGTCACCCATTTTATTTATTTATGCGCCTGCTCCTATTCAGGGGCTCATGTATTTTTTATTATGTTGTTTCACTGTCACGCAGTGTCAACTTAGTCTATTCAATGGAGGCTACTTGAAGGCCGGGGGGACAAAGCGTGTACACATTGCACCGCTATTCATTCCGGCCAGCTGGATCGGCTGAAAAAAAAACCTTGTGAAAAGAAACGCCTCACAATGGACACAGAAGAAGTGCACAATGCTAACAGTTTTCCAAATACCACTGATTGGTTTCTTCACAATAAGGAGAAAGCCGCCGCTTTTTCTTAGCTCCACTTCAACAAACAACACTCTCACAAAACCTCCCAACCCTGCGTTTTGTTCCCGGACAAAACCTCCTCGACTGTCTAAACGCTCCCACTAAAGGACAAAAAAAAAAAAAAAAAAAAAAGGATGAAAAAAAAAAAAGCTCTTTCACGATTCCCCCCCCCGCTCCCCCCCCCCCGCAAGAGAGAAAAAAAGAAACGGGGAGGGGGGATTGCCAGTGAATTAATAATATCAGTCTTTTAAAAGAAGAGGGCTGACCTTTGAGATGCACTGGGCTGAGGGAGAAAGAACCGGGGAGAGATTAATAAAGTTTGGACGGCGCGCTCTGCCTCGGCGGGGCTGCGGGCGCAGGCCAGACTCCGACGCTGGGGGCGGCCGAGGTGCGGGGAGCTTCCCCGGCCCGCAGGGGGCGGCGGCGGCGGCGGCGGCGGCGGCGGCGGCGGGGAGCGCCCGCGCCCAGCCGCGCTCTGATTGGCTGGCGCGCCGGTCCCTGCTGCTCCGGGAGGACCCGCGGTGCCTCCGCATCCTCCGCGCCCGTCGCGGAGGCCGCCCGGAGTCGCGGGACCAGAGGGAGACGCGCGCGGTTTTGTTCTTGCTTCTTGGGGCGGCCGGGGGGGCGGGGGTGAAGGGGTGGGGGGCTAATTGTCAGGAGAAGCGACAATAACGGCCCAGGCGTCTCGCGCGCGGCCCCGTCCGTCCCCCAGCTCCGGGGCTTAGAGCTCAAACACGGTCCATTCCACCTGTTTGCGCAAAGCCTGGAGGCAACACGCCTGGCCCTTCAGGGGTGAGGCTTGTTTAAAGCGTTTGGGCAACCTAAAAAAAAAAAAAAAAAAAATGCCGACGTGGCTTTTTCAAACCTTAAAAAGAAAGGAAGATGTAAGAAGGAGGGAAAAGAGGGGAGGGAAGGAGCAGAGAAGAAAGAGAGATGGATATAAACGGGGAGCTCTCCAGCCCGCACCTGCGCTGTGCCTCGTCCCGGCCCTATTCGTGGGCCGCTCTCAGACTCCTACGCACACACCCAGGCCCTTCTCCACGCTCTTGCCCTAGAGGCGCTCCCACTCCCACTTACTTCTGCCCAGTCTAACGTGCGGGGAGGCTTTCTCCAGACGCAACTTGTTGGCAAGAACGCTGGAGTCGAAGGGGTGATACACTGGTCACCCCCGTGGGGCCTGTGGACTTACTCAGACAACCAAACAGGCGCGCACGCAATCTGTTGGCGAGGTGACCCTGTGTGCGCAGCCCCGGCAGCTTCCCCCCTCCCCTTACTCATCTTTCCAGACCTCTTCTTATTCATCAGCACTCCGGAGCGTCGCTCCCAGAAAATGCTGATCTTTGGGAAAAAAGGAGGGGGTGGGTGGGTGGGTGGGTGGGAGGGGGCGGGGAATCTTCTGGCCGGTGGGGCCGAGCTGGAAGGCTCAGGGAGGTAACTTAGATTTAGGGCTGGGGTGATTTCCAGCAAGCCGCAGGAAGTTCCGTGTTGAGAAGTGATGGGCTGCTACAAAAGGGAAAGACGAAGCCTTGAAAGGATTTAATTAACCGTGTCAGGGATAATTACCCCTGGACAGTCCAAATTAGTTTTGCATAATCGCTCAGAACCATATGAATTAACTTATAATATTGCAAAGGGCTCAGGGAATAACAGGAGAGGGATCGTTTTAATTAGTGAATCAGGGTCAAACCAGCAGAGCCTATTTCTCACATTTCCAAAACTTTTCATGGTTTTTAAAATATTATTCCGTTGGGGAGAAAACAATGACTTTAAAGAGCTGGGTCGCTTATAAAGATGTGCAGCTCTCAGAGATGGCCTCTGTCAGTGGGGGGGGGGGGGAAACTAGTTGATGACTAGTTGAGTCCTGTATCTTAAGAATTTCTATCTCAGGGGATGGAAAATCAAGATCTTCCTACAGTTAATTTTTTTTTCTCTGAGAGTCTTCCTAGTGCCCTATAATTTCCTTTCTCAAATGAAAACCCTTTATGTGAAAACTTGTCTAGCCCTGGAAATTCAACCTTCTCCATCAGAATCTGTAATACTTCTATTTTAATGCCATTCAGTAGGACAGAATAAAGCCCCAGAGAGGCCAGAAGTCGTACATTGTCGTTAGCAGTGATTATCCTTCCAAATAAAATCTTAAAGTGTAAACAAGGAATATGCCAAAGATACGTGAACAAATTACACTGACTTAAGTGGCGGGGCTCTCCTACTAACAAGATAAAGTGGTCAGGCAACTTTTTCTCTCTTAAAATGTTACTGGAAACTAGTGAAATGCTTTGAACGGTCTGGATGTTTTCAATGGGCTCTGTTCTACTGGTTCATGAATGCCCTTTTTTTTTTTTTTAAACCAAGATAATACAACTACTTGGGTTTTTTTTTTTTTTATCTTCTTTCCTATTCACGATTAAAAATGTGATAAATCAGGTTTTTGGCTCTGAATAACAATGGCTTGATTTAGATTTCCTAGTAAATCTATTCAAAAGTGAAACAAAGGCTGCCTTTGGAGGATACCTTACACTTCACCTGGACCAGGCACGTAAGGGCAATTCAGATAAGAATCTTGTTAGGAACTCAACAAGAAATAGAGGATTTTCTCTTTTCCCTGGTTCAGGCTTTATTTAAACTCTTTGTTCAAAAAAAATGAACAGAGTGATAGTCGGATTCTAATTTACAGATATAGTTTAGACGTCTAATATTAAATTAGAAGATCACACAAGAAAACCATTTACACATAAAGGTTAAAACCAATACTTAAACTTTTTAAAACTTTATATTACATAAAGTCAAAATGAAACTAAATACATGTTAGCCAACTTCATTCACAAACATTAGTCAAAATATATACATTTAAAAAGAAACAAAAGGCTATAATTGAGGTTCTTTTCTCTAAAATGTGTTTTATCATAATTTGCAAATGAATTGCAGGTCATCTAAAAAATAAGCTAATTGGGGAGGGAACTCCAAAACACATTTAAGCGGTTCAAGTTGGTGAAGAAATGCTAGCTGAAAATCAGAGACATTTGTCAAACAATTCGGGTGGTTTTTTTTTCTTTTTTAAGTTTCGCTAAATAATAAATATATCATTACCACTCAGACGAAAAAGTCTGATTTAATCTTAGACCAAATTGCGATTCTGAAGTAGTCCCGCAATTTTTAAAAGTTAACTTTGACATTTGCTCAAAATGCTTTAGAGTCTAAAACCGACTCAAGTTTAGGGCAACGCAAATAACACATTTTCAGACTCCATGTTTTCACGGACATATACACATTTACAGTCTTAAGGTGAACTCAGCCATAAGGGGAAAAATAGGAACAGTGCCTTTCATCTTTCTGTAAACTGTGTCAGAAATCCCAGCAAGTGGACCCAGGGAGACTTCTCAGTTTTCGCTTTTAAAAAGGGATAAAACCCAATTGACAAGTTTTCATCTCGCACACATCTCTTGTTTGCATTCCTTGCTCTTAAGAGCTCTTGCTCTCATTTGCATATGACGTGATAAACAAAAGAAAGCCGTGATCATCTCACGTACAAAAGGCCAGATTCGAGCCGGTCACTGGTCAAGAATGGATCCGGTCTGTGAGTTCTGCTTGAGAGAACAGAGATTTGCAAAGTCAAATAGTACAAATAGGGAGCAAGGCTGCTCAGGGCCCTGTCGCTCTGAGAAAACTCCTGACACAGATCAGCTTTTCCCTTGTGCCAGCCATTTCAGACCTAACACTGGAACAGAGTGCGTGCGACACAGACCAGGAGGGAAGAAAGAAAGGGAAAAAAAAAAAAAAATCCTTTTTTTTTTTTTTAAAAAAAACAAGATAATGAGAAGCAAAAACAAAACCGACAATGTAACTTCCAACAAACAAAACTGGAAAGCCCGACGTGTCGAAAAGTGACTCCTCCACCTCCGTGGGCCCGAACGCAACAGGTTCCGAAGTGCAAAGCAAACATCAACTGCTGTCGGATACAACCGCCCTCCTTAAGGGGGGCTGCCCAAGTGCGGGTCTGAAATGCTCCCGTGAATCCACACGCACACTCGCCCGAGCACTCGCGCGCTCCGCCACTCGCGCCCCGACCGGCGTCTCCGCCTCTGCCTGCACCTACACGCCTACGTACATTCAACCCGGGGCCCCCGTCGCGGGAGGGCGCGCGGGGAGGGCGCGCGGGGAGGGCGCGCGGGGAGGCCGCGGAGCTCGTACCTATACAAATGTACGCGCGCGCACAGCGGTCCTCGCGAGGCGGCCCCGCGGGGTCATAGCGCGGCGGCGTAGGCCGCGGGGTAGGGGTCCAGCTGAGGCTTGCCCATGCCCGGCAGCAGGATGTAGGCGAGCGGCGGCTGCAGCCCGGGGCTGGGCCACGCGCTGCAGTTGCACGGGATCATGTAGCCCGGGTTGCCCGGGCTGGGGTGCGAGTGCGTGTGCCCCCCGGCGGCCGCGGCCGCCGCTGCAGCCGCCGCCGCCGCGCCGTGGAAGGCGCCGGCGCCCGCGGTCGGGTAGCCCAGCGACGAGGCGTACGGCAGGCCGGACGACGACGACGACGAGATCTCTGCCATCTTGGAGCCCAGGTCGAGGAGCGAGTAGGGGCTGCCGGCCGCGGCGGCGGCGGCGGCGGCGGCGGCGGCGGCGGCCGCCGACTGCGGGAAGAAGACGCGCGCGGCGGCGGCGGCGGCGGCGGCGGCCGCCTTCTCGGGGTTGGCGAGCAGCGACTCGGGCACCAGGCCGCCGCCCGCGCCCGCGTGCAGCCCGGCGCCCGCCTTGAGCGCCGGGTGCTCGGCGTCGGCCACGCCGCCCAGGCCGTAGGGCACGGGGAAGGCGAACTTGTCCTTCTTGAGCAGCGTCTTGGGCTTGCGCCGCGGCCGGTACTTGTAGTCAGGGTGCTCCTTCATGTGCATGGCGCGCAGGCGCTTCGCCTCGTCGATGAACGGCCGCTTCTCCGCCTCGGTGAGCAGCTTCCACTCGGCGCCCAGGCGCTTGCTGATCTCCGAGTTGTGCATCTTGGGGTTCTCCTGGGCCATCTTGCGCCGCTGAGCCCGCGACCACACCATGAAGGCGTTCATGGGCCGCTTGACGTGGTCCACCGGCTTGGACATGCTGTCGCCGGGCCGCGGCTGCAGCCCCCCCGCGCCGCCGCCGCCGCCGCCGCCGCCGCCGGGGCCGTCGCCCTCCGCCCGGAGGAAATCAATGTTGGCGGTCGGCGGGGACCCGCTCGGCCGGCCCGCGCGCGCCGCGCCGCGCCCCACCTGGCGCCCGGGCGTCGCTCCCGCCCGGGAGGAGGGGGCCGGGGGCCGAGCCCTGCGCCGCGCGCGCCCCGAGCCGCTCCGGTCTCTCCCGCCCAACGCCCGGGAAAATCCTCTCGCGGGCGCAGCAACTTCTGGGGCGGGTCGCCCTCGGCTTCCCTTTTGTCCTTCCTCTCCGGCCGCGTGGGTCCGGGCTCCCCGCGGCTGGCGGCCGCCCCGCAGCGCCCTCCTCCGCCTCGGCCCTCGCGCCCCTAGACGCACCGCGGCTCGGAGAGGGGCGCCGCGGAGGCCCCGCCGGGTTGAGCCGAGCGGCCCGCCGCCGCGTGCTGCCAAGTGCCGAAGGGGGCCCGCGGTGGCTGCGGCGCTTGGGTTCTCCTCCTCGGTGACTTTCTCATTTGACAGCAGCAGATGCGGGTGGGGTGGGGGAGGGGGAGGCGGAGGCGGAGGCGGAGGCGGAGGAGGGTCCGGGCGCAGCGAGGGTCGAACGCGGCGTCCCCGGCCGGTCTCGCTGCTCCGGGCAGGGCTCGCGGGTGGGAGTCGCCCCCGCCCCGGCCGGCTGGGGGCTTCCGGGGGCAGATGTGTGCGCGCCCGCACCTGCCTCGCGGGTCTTCCTCTCCGGCTGCCGGTCGGCGAAGGAGGCTGGAGGCTTGAGCAAGCCCGGGGGCGCCGGGCCTCAGGGGCGATCCTTCCGGCCGGCCGAGGCGCCGCGTCCCGCAGTGCCCCGGGCCATGCCGGCTCCGCGGGCTCCGAGCTCCTCCGGGGGCGCCGGCCGACCCCCGGCGCGGACGGCGGCGCGGCGGACCGGGCACCGGCCGCGTCCCCCCGGGCTGCGCCCGGCCGCCGCCCGGCGCTCGCAACTAACTTCGCCCAAGTTTCCTGCGCCGGCGCCGCCGCGCCCCTGCCGGCGCGCTCGCCTCGCTGCGTGCGCCCGCGTGTGCGCCGCGCCGGGGGCCCCTCTCTCCGGCTCCTCGGGCCCGGGCCGGGCCGGCGCCGGGCGGAGGTGCTGACGGAGGGGATCTAGGGGAAACGCGCCATCACCTCTATTCGCAGGTCCGCGCTGCGGCTGCTCCCGCTTCCCCCACTCCCGTAGCACCGGGGGCCCCTTCCTGGCCCAGGCCGCCACTCCGCCGCTCCCGAGGCGGCCAGAGCCCTGGGCGCGGGCTCAGGTGAGTGCGGCCACCTGCGTGTGCACGCGCCCGGAGCCGGCGCTGGGTGTGCATGTCCGGCCGCGACCGAGTGTGTGTATATCTGGGGGCACGCGGAGGAGGTGGAGCCCAGGACGCCGGGAGGGGGGAGGGACCAGCCGAGCCTCCTCCCGCTCCCACACCCCCGGGCCCGCGAATTAAGCTGGATCCCCTCCGCCCCCTCCGTACGCCTCCTCCCTCCCACCCCTTCTCACTGGAGAGCAGGTTGAGGCGAGCGGAGAGCTAGGAGCGCGCCGCGGAGTCTGCGCACTGCGTGGTGTTGGCAGCCCCTGGTGTCATCCCGGCTACCCTGGCACTGGTCTCGGCTCTGGCATCCTCTGCCCGGAGGAAGGAGGCTCGCGGGACGAGGAGAGCCTCTCGAGCTGCGGCAGAAGAGGGGACGCACTCTAGAAAATGTTGGAGACTTCTCCTAGGAAGAAAGTGCGCATTTTCCTTGGAGGTCCAGATGTCACTTGCAACAGATGCCTCTCGCATTTTCTTGCGCTGATGATGCACCCAGTCAGAGGTAGTGAAGTGAAAAATAACCGAGGAGGAACTGAGCGTGCTCTTGGCAACCTTTTCGGAAAGGAGCTCGCCCAGGCTGAGAATAGGCATCCTTGGCTGACCGTTTCAGCTCTTTGAAAAATCTGGGTGTTTTGTTTTGTTTCTGTTCTGGTCGACAGAGCCATCTATATGCTGATCTCTTTCAGGTACAGTTAACACTATCTCACTTAAATGCACAGATAGGGTGAAGGTAGGTGTTCAGAATCAGCGAGTGTCAGACGGCGCTCTGGAAGAACAAAGTAAAACATACCAGTCAACTCTGTACTGAAATGGCTTTATGCTGTTAAACTCAGTTTCCTTTAGAAAGAGCAGGGTTCTCCTTGTAATTGACATGATGCAAAAACTGCATGATTTTGTTTGCATATTTTTATCGCTTCTTGGTATGCTGCGGCACACCCATAGCATGACCAGTCCGGAGGTTTTATTCACAAGTTGGCCTGTCTTCCAGGGAGCACTCGCTTGCCTTCTTTCTTTGGCAGTTAGGATTGGACCTAGCCATGTGGCGTGTGCAAGTAGAAAGTTCTATAAGTGGTTAACTCTTTAAGACGTCCCTGCAGTATATGTTCATCCCATACACAGGCACACAGACACAGAGCCTTGATTGTAGTTGTGGACTTAAATAAAAGCTGTTTGGAGCCATCAGATTTATTTAAAAGTTACGCTTGTTTTATTGCTTATTTTAAGAACAGTGATTTTTGCTTTCATTTTAGTTGCTGTGACGGATAGAAATGTGAGCTAACAGTGGAATGTATGAGGGTCTGTATTTTTCTTACAGCATCACGTTTACAAATGTTTATTTTGTATTATTTATGTCCTTGTATTGCTGAAACAATTGGACTTATTTCTGTGGAATCATATTCCTTTACAGGCTCTATAAAGCCACCCTGTCATTCACAGACTCTGGGTGGAGTAACATTGAAACACTAGCAGGTGTAATTACATAGACTAGAATATTAAATATACTGTTTTGTGATGATAAACTACAAAATTATCATCCCTGAGTTTTCAACCCAACTTGTATAGTAGGTTTGAGACAAAAATATTATACACTGTCATATGAAGAACATATATGTGGGGATGCAAGATACAAAAAAAAACTGTTATTCACTAAACATCGTGAAAGAAGTTGAATCTAATCATAAAAATTATCCTGACATATACAGATAAGGATTGAGAAAAGGTATTTATATTGGCAAGTTAAATTATAGCCTACTCTTTTCAAATTTAAATTTAAAAATCTGTTGTAAAAAAAATGATCGCCATGGGGAAAAAATGTTTGTATATGCGATTGAAATGTGTGCTTTAATGTGTACCACATCTTATAAGAAGTAAAATCCACAAGCTTCCTTGGATGTAGTTTTATAAATTGTACAGTATTGCCAGTTTAGGGGTATTAAACGACCCAAATTTGAAAGTTCTCAAGTCCAAGAATGTTGAACTGTAGAGAACAAAGGTGCTTTCCATACCCAAAAAGGACATGGCTCACTGTGTGTTTGTTTACCTGGTCACCAAATAAAATTTCACACATTTCAGAATAGGAGAGATTGAGGTTTCAATTTCAGCTTTCAGGGGATCAATATTCTTGGCCTACGCCCTTCCCAGCCAGGGCCCTCACAGTAGCCGTGAGTGAAAGGCAGAAAAAGGTGGGACTGCTACTGTGAACCAGCCTTCATACTTCTCTGAATCTGGCTGAGCTTTTCACAAAGTTTTTATGCCATCCTTTTCTCATGTGCCAAAATGTAAATTCAGTTTTAAAGTCCATGGGTCTTACGCCTGAATTGATATGAGGTTATGCTTTTGTGTTTTGCTTTTTAATCTGAAGATGAAAAAGACCAAGATACAGGAAAGAAAATGGTCTGTGTGAGTGAACAGTGAAGGCAGAATAACTTGGAAGAGAATTTTAAGTTCGTTGGGCTTTCTGTGGTTGGCTCTTAAGTGGGAGCAACCAGAGAACTGTGTACCTTGATCAGTAGGGTCTGGGTGGGCTCTGTATTTTCACTGTGGCCACGTAATACCCGTGATCACAAATACGTCTCATCAGAAACTGAGAAACAGACAATTACACTGATAAAGTTTGCGAGTCTATGTAAATTCAGTTTCTTCTTTTCCCCCTGAAGTCCTCCCCAGTAAATGGTCTCTTTTCAGTTCTCAAGCTTTCACTAGGAGGCAGCAATGAGGCTGTTGGGGGAATTAAAAAAAAAAAAAAAAAAGAAAAAAGAAAAACACCTTGGCAACACCAGACTGACTGGCTTTCTTTCTTTTTCTCTTCCACAAAAGAGGGGAGACTATCTGGGTCCCAAAGGAAGACAAGGGATCAGAATGAACTAAATCATTTCCCTCTGTCCTTTCTGTCTCTGGTCCTGTACTGGATTTTCACCTAGCTGGCCCACCAAGAGATTTCCCTAGAACCATGGAGGTGGTGAACCACAGCAAAGAAAGCCTACCAGTGAGGGGCCAAGAGGTGAGCAGAAAAAAGTGTCTGGGCAGTAAAGGTGATGCCTTCAAAGTGCTAAGGCTCTCTCTGCCCCTGGAGCACCAGCAGCAACTATTAGAAAACTTTAGGGTTCTGGTCTTAGGCAAGGGTAATGAAAGAATCCATAAGCTTCCGTACCTACATAGAAAGGTAATGCAGCCTGTTTGTCCGGTTAAAGGAGGAAACGAACAAACTATGACAAAAGCTACGTTGCTCAGGCTGCTGTCAGTTTTCTAGTATGCTCCTTTGGCTCCCAAGCTCTGCTCCCATCAACCCCCAAAAGGGAGGAAACCCCAAACTTGGGATCCATGGAAAGCCAAGGAGTCAAAAAGGGGAGTTGGATCAGTCATGGCAGGAGCCAACAGCCCCTTCACTGGTTCCTGCTAAATTTTCATCTTTTGAGATGTCTGCCATATTTGGAAACTGGGACTTATACAAATCAATCCTGGAGACACCTTTCCTCATCCCTCCTTAGCAGTGCTCACGCAGGCTAGCATTTTCAAAAAGGATCTTTACCTAGATGATGGACAAGGAAAAACAAAAACACTGCTTCTCTCTCTCTCTCTGTCTCTCTCTGTCTCTCTCTCTCTCTCTCTCTCTCCCCCCCTCCCTGCCAAAAACACCTAAGGGGAAAAAAGACAATGCAAATAATCCAAGACAGACAACTTCCCAAAGTACTGATTTCAGATCCCAAGAATTCCTTAACAGTAATGGAGAGATTTATCTAAGGACAAGAGGTTTTTGTTTTTCTTTTTGTATTTTTTTTTAAGTGTGAGTGTGAGGGAGCCAGTGGTGAACAAACCCAGGAATGAACGAGGACATTCAGGGCTGTGTACCCTGTGGCCTATGTAATGAAAAATCCTTCCCACCCATTTTCAGATGAGGAGCCTGGGTTCTGGTGTGGTGGAGGTACTTGCTAATTTTAAAACCACGCAGACTCTGGTTGATTTTGAGAAGGAACAAAGCTGGGAGGAGTACCCCTCAAATGTTCCAGCAGGGTGGTGAAGAAGCCATGCTTCTGGCTTTACATATCCCTTGTATTCCTGTCCTTCCTTCCAGTGTCCACATGACCCTGCCATTTGATAGCAGATTCAGTCTCCTATCTAAGGATGAGTCTGCTTTGGAGCTCATTTGCTGAGCAGATCTGATTATTTTATAGCAATAATACGTTCAGTTTTTTTTTTTTTTAAGATGTTATTTATCTATTCGTGAGAGACACACAGAGAGAGGCAGAGACACAGGCAGAGGGAGAAGCAGGCTCCATGCAGGGATCCCAGGAGTCCGGGATCATGACCTGAGCCAAAGGCAGACAGTTAACCACTGAGCAACCCAGGCGCCCCATATGTTCAGTTCCTAAGGTACGGTACCTTTCACATACATTATCTTACTTACTTTTTTAGGAGAGCTCTACGAGGTAAAAGCTACCTACATTTGCCGTTGAGAAGCTAAGCCTTAGAGCAGATGAATAACCCTCCCAAAGTCCTACAACCCAAAGTGGAAGAAATGGCCTTTGACTTAAGCTGATGTTCCTCACCACCACCACTTGGAGATCGGGCACAAGACTCAGCCCCATCCTGGCGCAGATTCTGAATTCCACCTACTTCCTCCTGCCTCGTGTGACTCACTCTATGCCCCACCGCCCCTCTGAGGGAGTGCCCGGTGGCAGTCTCCCCAGTAAGGCATTCCAAACCCACAGCAGCACCTCAGTTACCAAAGGTAGTCTCTCAAAGCCCCGTCCTGGCTCCGGTGGTTATCAGCACAGGTTGGGTCTCGGCTGCAATCCACCTTCC